TAACCCCCATGGCATTCTTCAACAAAATGAAAAAAGATACCTACAGAAATCGACAGGTACCGGCTACTCTTTTTCGGGGTTTTTCATTTTTCTTTTAATCAGCGGAAAGGTGGGATTCGAAACATTGGAAAGACAGATACTACTAGACATATAGCGGGTAATTTTTGATACTGTGTATAAGTTTTCAAATACCAAGATGAAAATTGAAACCACTTTTTGAGAAGAACATGCTTGAAATGTGGGAACAGAATGCCTACTCGGAAAGGCGCTTTGACTTGTAGGCCGGGTGAGCATAATATCTTTGATATGCATAGAGGTAATGATTCCATTAGCTTCTAGTATTAAACTTGATTGGTGATACAATATTTAATATCTATCTTTTGTAGTAGTATGCAGAGAGACTTTATCAGGCCAGCAATTCCAAACAAAACAACATATAGGGCCCAATTAAAAAGTTTATTTTGATTCCAATATCTCTAAGAAGAACTTTATACATTTATAGTCAAGCAAGAGATATCTTATTAATTTGAATCTATGCCTCTCTCTCTCTTCCACAATCTATAAATTTGTGGGCTAAGTTTGACTTGGTTATATTACAGAGCGGGTTGTTCATTGCTTTCAAATATGAAACGAGGAGATATTAAAATACGATCAAGTCAAGACAAAAATTAAGGTGAGAGCATTATGCATAATGGACTTTATAATCCACTTTTCTTTTGTCCCTTTTCCTTTTCTTCTTTAAATTTGTTGGTTGGTTGGTTGGTTGGTTGTCTTATAGCTTTAAGAGGCCAATCTGTGTTAAGCTTGGGATTTAAGCTTGGCATCAAGACTAGCTAGCTGCACATATGCATGCCATCATTGCATTGCATTGCATGATATATGTAGAAGAAGGTTCTCCACCTGCTATGAACCATCCCTTTACCCTAGTGGCAAGCAAAAGACATATCCTTTACTTGTGAGCTGCAATCAACTCAAGGTCAAGATCCTTGCATGAAAGCAACACCCTCCTCAAAAACTAATTAATCAGTTCACCAATTATTAGGGCTAGTTTGGGAGTGATTCTAAAGAGGCTAATAATCATTTTTTATTTCTTCAAATAATCTCTTTAAGTGATTTTATGGATAAGCACACAGAAGGTGCTTCTCCCCAAAATCACTTAAAATCACTAAAAGTGATTATGTGGAGAAGCTCGTGAGAGGCGCTTCTCCCCAGAAGTGATTCTGACCTATCTAAAATCACTCCGAAACAAGTCCTAAGTCTCTATAAAGCTACTTCAACCAAAAGAAATAAAAATGTTAAATAATTTGAACATATTTACATGTATTTAATTTGTTTATGCATATGGCATAGGACCAAGTTCAAAATTAATTTGAATGTTAAAAAAGCAACTATAAAGTCTGGACCATATACAATTGGAAGTAGAGCGTAGCTTGTTCCCTATTCTAATTTAAGTACCTAAAGTTGCTATTTCGGTTGACTTCATCACAATTCACAAATGTATGCTTGAGGAGGAGAAAAAATAAAAAAAATCTTGACAATTTCCTTTTCCTTTGGGTCTTTTTTGGTTAACATTTAATATATATATATATATATATATATATATATACACATACATAAATCTATACATGCAGTTGGCTCTGTGTGAACTTGAAAAGCAAGGTTTGCAGTACTGGTGTAGAAAGTGGACTCCAAGTCATGTGACATGAGGAAAGAATCTTGGGTTTCATTTCATCCTTACGTGTATAAGGACCCCATTATATATATATAATGCATGGCCATATCAAATCTCTCTGCCCATCTCTCTCTCTCTCTCTCTCTCTCTCTCAAGAACAAAACAGTTGAGGGGAATGTCGTCTGGTTCGAGATCCTTCACAACTGTAGAGCTTAAGCATAGTCTGAATGATTTCGGACCAGGCTTCATTCCCCTCAACTAAGAGAAATAGTTCATTACTTTCTATACATATCATGCATTAATTAAAATGCAATGAATTAGAGCCTCTTGCCTTACTTATGATAGTATTTATGCAGAAGCTGCAGATTTTCAATTGAGGAAAGCAGAGCAGCTAGCTACCTGTAGCCGAAATTGGCAACCGGAGCAAGCATCATCAGTTGAGTTTAATTTCTATCTCTTTCATGCCTAAAATATGTTGACTAAGATATGCAGTGCCATTGTGAACATATGACTGCAAATTAAGTTTTTTCTTCTGTCCTTTTGGTTTTGTTTATTTGCTAGTGTCCCTTTTTTTTTCTTTTTTGTTAAATTTTCTGGGAGAAGTAGGGGAAAGGATATAGAGACAGAGTCTCTCTATACTGTGATTTGGGTTAGCATGTTTCTTAAGATTTTAGTACATATGCATATCTTTCTTCCATGCCAAACCACCATATCTACAAGATGAGTCAACCCTAAATGGGTAACCAAAAAACTGATATTTCCATGTGGCTCAGATTTACATGTGAGGTTCATGATTTCAGGTGGGACAGACCTCCTGGATATTGACAACTGTAGCTTCTCAATTGGCTTCTTTGATATGATTTTACTTTGTCGGGGTGGAAAAAGGAAAAAACTTGCACAAGCAGAGCAGTGTATCCACAAGCTAAGGCGAGAGAAACAAATGCAATTGCAAATGTACAGTTTCATGATGTGAGAACAATATCAATGTGTAAGAGTTATAATTGTGGTTCGGATTCTCATGTTGAAAGAAGGGTTGAAAAAATGGAATCCAAGTACTTTTGTTTGTAGGGTTTGATTGGACTTAAGAGGGATGAGAAATAATAGTGGGGGATGAAAGATTACAAAGTGAGAAAAAGGAGGGAGTATGTGTATGCCAACCAATATGACCTTGTCTGCTTGCTTATGTGTTTTTCTTTCTGACTCAAATGATATGATATAACTCAATAAATAGTGTTAACAAATACTAGTAAATTTGTAATGAGGATAAAGCCACAACAGCCTACTCTTATCTACTGGTCTTTGATCAAGTTGATGAAGTTCTTGACCTTGCCCTTGCCCTTGGTCCCTTCTCAACCATAAAAATGAACTATATTTATTGATTTTGCGCTAGATAGTGATGGAGGGGGCCGCGCCATGAACCCGGGACATGCAAGTTTTTCTCTTGACATACATCTTATGTATTAAGTTTAAAGGTGGATTATCATATAATCTAACAATCTATTACTTTCTTGAATTACCCACTAATGATGCTTGAAAAGCAGCCAACAAGAAACATAAATAAATAATAAAAAATCCAATCAAAGGACGTCTTGCCTGCATGACCCATATACTTATCTTTTAAGCTGCAATCACTCCAATCAACAAGATTGGTAAATTAAGTTGTAATTACCCCAATCATTTGGAGGTCTCACCATCTGAGTGAAAAGCAGGAGATAAAAAGAGAAATTTCATGTCTTTGGAGAGAACGTGTTACAAAAGCTTCTTGGTACAATAATATGCATACTTTTTCACCTATCCTTTCAAGTTTAGGGATCTGACATTGAGGAGAAAAATCTCATAAGGGTTCATCTGATGTGAGAGGCAATAGCTTTTATCATCAGATGGTCTTTAATGCTGTAAAGAAACGTTTGCTAAGCACTAGCTTACCTTGGGGCACAAACCCATCCACCCAAAATAACAGAGAAAAATATAGAAAAGAAAAGAATTCAACCCTGATCTGCTAACAAAATACAGCCTTTTGGGTTAGAGTACTGGCTTAAAGATCAGCAATGGGACCCTAAGGGTGATATTTGTTGATACATGCCATTTTTCAGTCATCATTTGAACTACTTTTATTGCTGACTGACAGGATAAGAGCTGAGAGAGAGAGAGACAGAGATATATATATATATATATTTATGGTACGAGTAATTATATTTATGAGGCATTGTTGTTTCCTTCAAAACTAGAAACTAATTGTATTTATGTGGGTGTTTTCATTCTTCATGGTGGATATCCAATCTCCCTATAGGCTGTCGACCAGATGGTACAAGTAAAAGCATATTCTACAAATAAAAAATTCAGTTTTATTAGTATCCAAGTTTACTTTCTTCTTCCCCACCAAACTGGGCCATTTAGCAAAAAGAAACTACATACCTACCAGTTATGCTCAGTGCAAACAGCAAATACTGAAGTATTCTGTAAATACACTAAATATATACATATATGCATATACACACACATTCGAAGACATACTCCATACGTTTTACCCATCATGGATCAACTGGTGCGGACAGACTCTCAAACCATTTCGATGCCCTTCTTTCAACTTGTGGGATAGATATTTTTCTTTTCCAGAATGAAATGCTAGTTCGCTGAGACTGCACTCGTCAGCTGAGAAATATTTCGTGCTCATTAAAAAAGGAAAGCGAACAAAAGGCTAGAAAAAGGTATTGCAGCAGAAAAATTTACAGTTCTCATTAAATGCTTTGCATAAATATTTCACAGAATTTAAGGTTTGATGCAATACAAAGAAGTTTAATATCTGTATTACAAAAGTATGAAGTACAACAGGAGGCCGACTGGTTACTCCCAATCTGCGGATCATGTTCTCTCATTAATTGACAGAAGAGTAACATTTTAGTGACATAACAGTACCTTTTTTAGGTGAGACTCTCTTCTACTTAACACCATGCCACAGAACGCGAGACCAGAAAAAAAAATATATATATATATTACTTTGGCGTGCACAAATACGCTGCACTATTCAACCAAAAAAAAACAGTATGATGCGGTAGGTCTTGTTTATTTGCAACCCTGATTCAGGGGAGTCACTCACGCACTGCAGGCATTAGTGGAGGCATGTTCAGTCCATCATTACACCATCTATGCGATCTGCCCTCGCACAGACAGCACCACTGAAGTTTTTTCTTTGAATACAATAACGATTGTCCATTTGAGATCATGAAAATGCACCTTCACAACTTCTGGTTGAATGTGTGAACAAAATCAGAAGACTTTCGGATAAGAAGTTATGACTGAATAATCATGCTTGTGACTTTTAAACTTATCATGTCATCTTCGATTGGCTAGTGGCAGGAAATGTTGGAAGCAAGTCCAGACATTTACGATACTTTTCATCCTTCGAGAGCAAGTCTATGACAATGGAGATTGTGCAGGAATCTGGTGACAAATTTCTTGTGACCATCTTGTGAAGAAGTTCGACCACTTTCACCGAGTCATCACTTTGGCAGAAACCACGCATGAGGATATTATAAATAATGACATTTGGAGCACAACCATTAGCTTCCATTTCTATAAACAAACCATTTGCCTTTTCCAGTTGTCCTTCTATACAGAGCCCATGAATCATCACGGAATATGTTATAACATTCGGTGCCAGGCCTCTATTTGACAATGTAAGAAAAAGATCCCAAGCAACATCAAGGTTCCCTGCTTTACAGAAGCCATCAATAAGGCAATTTAACATTTCGACGCTAATTTTGAAGTTGCAATTTTCTAAAGTACGGAAAACTTCCATTGCCTCTGGTACGCGATCAGTTTTGCAAAGCCCGTCCAACAATATTTTATATGTTGTTGAATTTGGTAACAGGTTCTGAGTTTGCATTTCACCAAAAAGTTCTTGTGCATCCTGAACTTTACCCATATGAAAAAGACCAGTTAATAAGGAGTTATATGTTATTACTGTTGGCCTAGTTCCTTTGCCAATCATTTCCTTGTAAAGATTGACAGCTTCCTGTATATTCCTATTCTTGCAGTATCCATTGATCAACACATTGTAGCTAATAGCATCAGGTTCACACCCTCTACTTGGGATAGATTGAAACAGCTCTCTTGCTTCATTAAGCCTACCCGCTAAACAGAAGCCATCCATCAAAGTGTTGTAAGTAAATACATCAGGATCTATGCGCCTTTGAATCATCAACTTTAACAAGTCACTGCATTCTTTCAGATGTCCCCTTCTGCAAAGCACTCCTATTAACACATTGAATGTCACCACATTAGGCCTGACACCCTGATCCACCATCTCATTTAACAAAGCTTTAGCCGCTTCCCATTTTTCATTGTAGTACAATTCATGTATTAGAGCACTATATACAATCACATCAGGGACAAATCCTCTATCTTTCATTTCTATGAATAGTTCTTTCGCCTTATCTACCAACCCAGCTTTACAAAGCCCATCAATAATGGTCCCATAAGATACTACACTTGGCTTACACTCAACACCATAGACACCATTCCCATTAGCCATTTCTTCATGTAACCGAAGGGCAATATTCGTATTTCCTGTTCGACACAACCCGTTAACCAAAGTACCAAAAGTAACCACAGTAGGCTGACACCCCAACTTGATCATTGTCTTAAACAACCTGGTTGCCTCATCAATCCTATCCTCCATACACAACCCTTTAAGCAATGCCGTATAAGTCACAGTACTTGGTCTATAGCCCCTCCTTAAAAGACTTCCCATAACCACAAAACCATCACGAGCCCGGGTCACGTTACAAAAGCAATTAAGCAAAATATTAAGCGTAATGAAATTAGGCAACAACCCAACTGATATTAACTTATTGTAAAACAAAAAAACTTGAGAGCAATGCTTACTCTTGGCAAGTCCACCAAATAAACGATTGAATGACCAAATTGGAGGAGTGGGTTGCATTTGAATCATGTGCTCAAAATAGTGCAGCGCTTCATTGATGGTAACATCACCTGACTTACAGTTGGTTTCGAGAAATTTTTCAAGTTGGGTTTGGATTGGAACTTTGGAAATTAGGTTTTCTGATGAAGTTGTGGGATTTGAAGAAGTGGGCGTGCCTTGGTTCTTGATGAACAAAGATGAAAGCTTGCTTGAAGTTTTGGAATTTGAAGATGTGGGCCTTTGTGGGTTTGTGAATAAAGATGATAACTTTACTTTTGAAGCTGTTCCCGAAGAGCTCATCGTAGAGAAGCAGTTAGCAGAAGAACTTCAGCGGCAGCAGCTAACCTAATCGTCGTTTTTGTGTCAACGACTTGGTGTTGAATCAAGAGAACATTGTAGTACTTGGTGTCGTTTTAGCGGTAAACAAAACCTTCTTCATTTTCTCTCTTTTGCAGTTTATATTAATCAAATTTGTTTGCCAATTAACAAATTATTAGCTTCTCTATAAAAAAATATATATATAAATTATTAGCCATTACTCTTAGAGCATATTTGAAAATAAAAATCCAAAACTAGCTACTTGTTATTTTTTTAATTGGTTCTTAATATTTTAAAATTTTATAAGAACTAATTAAAAAATGACACGTGACTAGTTTTTGACTTTTCTATCTAAATAAAATTTGAGAAATTGGAATATAGTGGTTAGAGAAATGTGGATATGTTATTTCTTGCTTTTCAAAATATAATGTATTAGATTATTTTAATTTTAATTTAAGGCCAAACAATTTTATTTTCAGTTTTCTGAAAATTTAGAAAGTGGAAATGTATTTGGTAATTATTTTTAGTTTTTAGTTTTTGAACAAATGAAAATTAATTTAAAAATGAGCCAAAATTTTGAAAACTCTCGAAAATCAATTTTCCACGCTAAACCCTAAACCTTTTCTATTATTTCACGCTCGCTCTCGCTCTCTCAAATCTCCCTCGCGCGCTCTCTCTCTCTCTCTCTCTCTCTCTCAATTCTCGCTCTGCCTCTTCCCTCCTCGCTCGATCTCACTGCGCTCAGTTATCTCGGATCTGACGCTCTCTCTGTCTCACTTATATCCTCCTCTCTCCCTCAGATCTCACCGCCTCTAGGCTTTCAGAAAGGTATGAAAATCTCTGCCTGACTGTTTGGGTGATTCAGATTTGGTGTTTTTGAACTGTTTTAAGTTGTTGGTATTTGATTTTGGACTGTTTTTTGTGTTTTTCTGCTGATGTTGCTGTGTTTTTGTGTTTTCCTGCTGATGTTGCTGTGTTTTCGGGTTTTGCTGTTGCTATTAATAGTGCATTACAGAAAGGGAAGAAGCAATCGTAGTTTTTTTTTGGTCGTACTGTTTGGATCAAACTATCTCTTCACCATTCAATTAATAATCAATTGTTTTTAACCTCTGCTTAGTTTAAATGAGTTCATAACATGCCTAAATTTACCGTTGCATGCATAGCTGCTAGCTGGTGTGTTGCTTAAATTGTTTGTTCTGGTTTTTTAGCTTAAGTTGCTTATAAGTATATCAAGCTAATTAAGACAGAGGGAATATGGAGGGTTAAATTTTGAGTCACTGAACTACAGTTTGTAATAAGCTATTGTACCAACTTTGGTTTTCATTGGAAACGTCCAATTTCAATGAATTTATGAGAACATCTGCAAATTAGTGTCGCCGCTCATAGAACTAAAATTAAACAATAAAAACGAAAGTTGATACAATAGCTTATTACAATAGTGTTGAGAACTGAAAACATTTGCAAATTACTGTTGCCATGATACATCCAATGAATTTATGAGATCTCAGTATGAAATACCATTGTAATATCAGTAGTGTATTACTTAATTTTTTTGGTGAACTTACTTAATACTCAGATTAATTTGGTATATCTTGTTGTTCCTTGACAGGTTGATATCCAGGTTGAAAATCCTAGAAACATACCCCTTGTTCAAGATGAGGTATGATTAGTTTGATGTGCCAAATTGCAATTGTCCTTAGCTTTTTACTGAAATACTAACAAGGTTCCTTTTTGTTTTGTGTTTATTACCCTCTCTGTTTCCAGCCGGCCAATGGAGGAAGATGTAAGTTATTCTGCTCTTGAGTTGATTTTGTTCATCTTTATCATGTCTCTCTCTGCATCTTTAAATGTTATGTATTATCTGAGAGATTGAGTAAAATGGGTTGTCCTGAATTTGGATATGGAATTTGCAACTTTGAACTAGTGGCAGTTGGCAATATCTCATAGTTACCCCCATCTGTGATTGTATTGAATTGTACTCCATTGGTACTTTGATGGTATTTCATGGAAACTAATCTGAGTTCAAAATATTGATGCACTTCAGTTAGTAATTTTTTGGTTAATGCATCAGAGCACTAGTAATTATTAAAGAGTAATTGTGTTATGCCTCTTATGTTTGTGTGTTTCTTTTTCCATGTTCTTCTAAAGGACCGCCAAACATTTACTCATTTCCCATTCCTGCTAAATAAAACCATTGGGACCAAATGTTTGAGAGTGATCTCTCTTGGTATATGACATAGTCGCATGTGATTATTTCCCTTCTCATTCTGGAAAACTTTTATTTTGTCATATTCTCATTCTGAAATCCAAAGTCAGCATATTTATTCTTATTGGTATCATCAATTTGTGAAGATTCTTATCTAACCTGAATGCTGCAGGTTGCCAAGAACGAGGAGGAGGAATTTAATACAGGACCACTCTCTGTTCTTATGATGAGTGTGAAGAATAATACTCAGGTAATGCTTTCTATAATTTCATTGTTCTCTGCCAATAAAGGCTTTACATATCAGGAAAATATTCTTATTCAAATTGGTTCCCATTGTGCAAACAGGTGCTTATCAATTGTCGTAACAACAGAAAGCTTCTTGGCCGTGTGAGAGCATTTGACAGGCATTGCAACATGGTTCTGGAAAATGTTAGGGAGATGTGGACTGAGGTATTCCCAATCATGGGTTTTATCTCGTGTTCTGTTTCCTTTTGTGTTGGTAGATCTTCATCAATTATCAATGTTCTTTTTATCTCATGATATTTGTGTTATCTTTTATTTGTCTATGCAGGTGCCAAAGACTGGAAAAGGCAAGAAAAAGGCCCAACCTGTTAACAAGGATAGATTCATCAGCAAGATGTTTCTCCGTGGGGATTCAGTTATCATTGTTCTTAGGAATCCTAAGTGAGGTGTATTATTGTATGTAGCTTTGACAATTCCAACGACTTGCAGAAGTAGTGTCCATGCTGAAAATTTTATGTACTAAGCTTGGGAGCTTTTATGTACACTTTTTTTGAGCAACTTTCAAGTGCTGTATATTTTTTTACCAAATGGATCATACACGTGCTATGTGATGCATACATAAACAGTTTACTGTTTTTGAAGGAAAATGATTATCTTACCAAATGGATCATACACGTGATGCGATGTATAATACAATCGTAGTTATGGGAAAAAAAAAAATTGGATCATATTATTGCCGTTGTCATAATCCTAATTCATTTCTCCATTCTCCCATAACCACTTTGTTACTATAACAATCTAAGTTTATATTTTAAAGTAGGGAATGAAAAATTTACCATAACAATCTAAGTTTATAAATTTGTTACTAACACATTGATGTGTAACACTGAGGAACATTATTAGGAAAGTGAAAAGTTCATATGAGTGTTGTGGGGGGAGAGGCAGGGACGAGGACAGAAGGTTTATTGGGTACAATTTTAGAAACATCATTAATAATAAAAACAATAATAACAATATAAATATTTGTTCACATCGCAGACGTGTCACCACTCAATTTCGAAACAAGTAACCATATAACGATTAACATGCAACTAGAAAAGGCATAAGCCAATTCCAAATTTTCTCTCTCATCTTCACAATCGAAATCCAAATCAGATCGCAGAAAAGTAACAAAAGACTCAATCTTTCTTCACATCACATCTAGCTAGCTATTTTTCTTGGAATTTTTTAAGACATGCAGAAAGGTAAGCATCATGGAACAAAACTAGTGAGCCTCTTGATATTGGCCTCTTCCGTGGCTATATGCTTCCATCCTTCATGCACAAAGCTATGTAATTTATCACTCCTCACCTCTCAATTTTCTTCAGATCACAACAACAGCAAACCCACCTTCACACAGATCCTTGTAGCCTCTTCCATCGGGATCATCATCGCCGCCGCGGTGCATTACCGTCTGCGAAAGCTCAAGGATCAGAAGATCATCCCACGCCTAAAAATATCTGACTCTAGCCGTGTTCAACACAAGCTCGAAAGGTTCCCTCATTATGTAGGTAGGTAATTAATAGAACATGATATCTTCACTTATTATCTCCATGTAAATAAATGAAAAAAGACTTATTGTGATCTATATATGAGGCTGTGTTATTGTAAAACCTGTTGGCAGAAAATTCAAGAAGCAATTTTAACAGAATTGTGTTTGTGTGTTTGTGTGTTTGTGTGTTTGTGTTTTCTGCATTGCCTTGTGGATGCACATGCAGCTAGGCAGCTGGGATTTAATGACAGAAGAGAATGTCCACATCTCTGCAAGTTAGCCACTGAATACATCAGAAAATTTGAAGGGTTTGAGGATGATATCTATAACTTCTTCTCAAGTGAACCGGATGCCGATTCGCTGTTTGTGAAGCTTGTGGAGGAGTTTGAGAGATGCATCCTCAGCTATTTTGCATTTCATTGGAGCCTGGCTGACCTCATGATTAGTCAGGTGGTTAAGATCCTAATCATTTTGCATTGAAAGACAATATGAAAGAATGTAATTAAAATCCTAATTAGTCATATTTTTTTTTCTGTGGAACCTCAAGTGATAAGGATTTGTAAAATTTCAGATCTTGAGCTGTGATGCTGAGCCTAGAAAGAAGCTCAAGAACATTGTCATGGCAGCAACCAGGTAGGTAGGAATTACTTATTATACGCAAGCGTTACCAACGCGAAGCACAATGATTATTGTAATTTTATTTTTTGGTAGGGAAAATTGAATATAATCTTGACTCTGTGTTGTGATATAGAGAACAGAGATTTGAGAGGGTGACAAAAAATTTGAAGGTGGCCAGAGTTTTCACAACGTTGGTGGAAGAGATGAAAGCAATGGGACTGGCGACGGCGGTGGATGACTCGACATGTACAGAGGTGATGGCTCCAGTAGCACATGCTGATAGAAGTCCAGTCCTCCTCCTCATGGGAGGTGGAATGGGAGCAGGGAAGAGCACTGTGCTAAAGGACATCCTCAAAGAGTAAGAGTTCATTTTTCAAGCAAAATGCATGCCATATATATATAAACCAACTTCTCTTCTTCCCTTGACATTTTCCTTCTCAACTCTCTCTCACATGGCATGGATTGAAGCCTACATGAATATCTTGATAACCGATCCTATTATATATCGGGTAGAAATTCATAAGCATAAGGAAACTCTGTTTGCTACTATAGTTAAACAGAAATCATAAGCACAAACAATTATATTAACCAAGCAACGACAAGGCAAGCTCCTCCCATCGTCATGGCTTGGTAGATTTCATTCAATTCAACCATCATTTTCAAGCCAAAGAAAACATCATTTAATGTTAACCTTTTTGGTTGAAATGTGTGTTGTAGAACATTCTGGGCTGGAGCAGCGGGGAATGCAGTAGTCATTGAGGCAGATGCCTTCAAAGAATCAGATGTTATATATAGAGCCCTCAGCTCTAGAGGACATCATGACATGCTTCAAACTGCTGAACTGGTATACGTCAAATCTCTCTCCCTACAAATAGCTACAAATTAACCCATCAACTGAGCTACATAAATACAACTGTACATAGCCTTTATATGCTAATTAGTTGTAGCTAGGATTTTATTGGCTTTTTATTTTATTAAGCTTGGATGATATAATTACTAAAAACAAGATGCTAATTTTTGGGCTTTTGTAACTTGAAGAACTGTTTACTTGCAATGTCACGAAAAAGGTTCATGTTAAATATATGGGCCCAAAAATTAGAGTTGGGCCTCCTCCCGGGCAAGCTTTCACAGTTAAGCCCCATTTTCTGGATTTGGTTTTCAACTTTAAAAGAAAATTCCTATGTGAAAAACCTTCAGTTAGATAACTTTATATTATTGTATACAGAGACGATTCTCCAATAAGTATTTAAGTTAAGAATAGGTTACATAATTTTAATTTCGGCCATTGAATTGCATCTAAGAGATTACCAACACATTTAATAAATGCAATTCAACGTCCAAGATTAGAAGTATGTAACTAATTCTTAACAGAAAATACTTATTGGAGAATCTCTCATTGTATATAATAAGGAACAAAACACATAGATACCTATACTTAACTAAAGTTCATTCAAATAATTTTTTAAGGATGGTAATGAGCTGATAAAAATGATTTCAAACAGGTACACCAATCATCTACGGACGCAGCATCATCACTCTTGGTCACAGCACTTAATGAAGGGCGGGATGTGATCATGGATGGCACACTCTCTTGGGTACCATTTGTTGTGCAGACAGTAACAATGGCCAGAAATGTCCACCGCCGCCGTTATCGGATGGGACCTGGTTACAAGGAGGGTGAAGATGGAACTGTTATCGAAAACTATTGGGAACGACTTGACGATGAAGAACCAGAACAAGTAGGAGGCAGAAAGAGAAAACCATACAGGATAGAGCTTGTTGGAGTTGTGTGTGATGCTTATCTAGCTGCTATAAGAGGCATAAGGTATGTGGTCTTACCTTAATTTTTTGTTCACTTTCGAACTTTTAGCAGTAAAAAGAAAAGCATTTCCTCTTGAGGCCCTGATAAATGAAAGTCAATGACAACAGGAGAGCTATCATGTGTAGAAGAGCTGTACGAGTAAACTCACAATTGAAATCCCACAAGAGATTTGCAAATGCATTTCTAACATATTGCCAACTGGTTGACAACGCAAGACTATATTGCACTAATGCATTGGAAGGTCCACCTAAGGTACACTTGCTATCCCTTCTTTTAGTTTATATATCTTCCTTCCTTTCCAATGAAAAGAACCTGCACACATACCTTAACTCAACTCAAGAGTGTTACATTCCATGGATGAAACTAAGGAATCAAACAAAGCCTATGTGCCTGCAGACTTCCACATAACCAAGGCTCTGAATGGACTTTCTTGAATTCTGTATCTCCTAGCCTCGGAACTCATAATCGTTGCACGTGTGATGAGCCAGCCCCTCTGTCTGACCTGAAATAACCTTGCTTTAGACATTAAGAGTCCTAAATGAAAGATGCGAAATATATAATTTATTCAACCATGGATGGAAAACATAGCTTCCAGGACCAGACCAATAACAAAAAGTTCTGCTTGGAAGTAGTTTATGGTAGTCTAACATTATATGTGTGATACTGAGATAATAATTGTTGTGAAGTTGATAGGATGGAAAGACAAAGACAGAACCTTGCTTGTTGATCCAGATGAAATTGATTGCTTGAAAAGGGTGGGCCGATTAAATGACTCAGCGAATTCCATATACGAACTTTACAAGCACCCTAACCCAGCTTGTGAAACTGGGTCAATCTGGAAGGACATTGTCTTATCGCCTTCAAGATTAAACATTCAAAAAGAGCTGAAGTACTCCATCCAGAAAGCTGAAAGATTGAAACGATAAACCAATGGTCCCGGCCAGGTGCGTTTTAAACTTCTTATCTTCACAGCACAGATCAGAAGATGGAGACTGAACAAAGCATTGGGAGTTTTCAATATCTGCAACCAATGAGTATTTTGTCTGTGTTTTACCAAAAACTAGGAGCTTTTTGTCTGTGTTGTACCAAAAATGAGGAGCTTACTCCTAAGATTTATATATAGAGAAAGTGAAGATTTGAAGGTCAAAATTTGGACTTATCTTAGTCAATGGTCATAGGTATATACATATTTATGAGAATGATAATATCTGAATCTCCCTGTTGTATGACCTTCATTAGGTCAGTGTAGAAAAGATGTCTTCCTTTTCTTTTCTTTTACTGTTTTGGTAGCCTAAAATTACCCACAATATAACATATAATTTTAAGTCCAATGTAGAGTAAGGATAATGTATATGGATGTGATGCCTATTTATAATTGAGTATAGATGTGACATGTTGACTACAAAAGCAATGCAAGCCCCAAAAGGAAAATTTGGAAATCTTTTATCTCAAGGCATTTACACTAACTAGATATGCATCCAAGCATAACCCAATATTCATTCTCTTTCAAATAATATTTGGCATGAAAGGAATGGATTAATGACTTTTGAGTTCAGATATTCCTGGTAATGAAGAAACTGCAAGTATTAAATGAGTCATGTATTATTTTGGTAAGAACAAATGAGTTACTTAAATATCAAAGGAATGATAAAGAATTGCAATTCCTGGAATATCAGTTAAGCGTTAAGCATTCATATAGTAATCTCCAATACACGTCTCTTAAATCTAAAGATCCACAGCTAACTGCCAAATAAATTCCACTCCAGATCCCTAAATAGCAAATGCATTGGGGAGGGCATTGGGATACATCATGGAGAAAGAAATAATATGACAAAAAAACAATGATATCTTATAAACCATCGTTTAATTTGTACTGTTTATTGCTGTGATTCTTTCCTCTACGCTTTCAGAAGTCAAAAGAACAAGAAGGATTTTCTAAGCTAGGACCATGCATTTGAAGCATCAAATTAACAATTAACAAAGTATAGATGACATGAATGAATACCTGCTGGATATCAGCCAGCTACATTCAATGTTTAACCTGGATTTGAGGCTGAAAACCTGCCCTGCGTTAGGTAAACAAAAGTTAGAAAATAAAAAGAGGGAGAAAATGATAGATAAATGAGAGGGGGGCCAGAGAGAGCTCTCTCAAGCTAAGATCAATAGTAAACAAGGTTAAATTTTAAAGGAAACATGGTAAAATACATGCCTGCTTGTGTCCCTGTGCATCCCCAGAATAAACAAAGATGTTCACAACCAAGTATTCCTTGGTCATCGACTCATCAGTAATAATTCCTTTACTTTGGCATTGCATGGGTAGAATTAAGTCCCGCATATAGGAATGTTGTTTCGTAAAGTCCAGTGAATTCTTACACCATATCTTGAGTAGCTTGTGACCTCTAGAAAACAGGCAACATAAGAACTTGTCTTATATACAGGCATGAAGTTCATCCAACAATAGTAGAACCGAATGCCAATCCTTTATGGTTTATGCAAAGATGAACATACATGTCTCTTTTCTCCAGTTTGCTCTGTATCTTATTTCCACCAAACAAGTTCTCCAAATTCCTAAAGGTTTTGTGTGATTTACAAACCTGGGATCTAACTACTTTAGTGTTCCATGCTGATCCTAAATGAACTGGCCCAAGTTATGTCTGGCCATTGATTCTCAATCACACCTCTAATGGAACAGCCTGAAATCTGGTCAATAGTTTTCTGTTAGTTGAGAACGACTGTAGTCATATGGATAGCCAAGTCCTGGTTTACAACTGGTTCCTTGATAGGACGATTATTTCACCTATGTGTAGCTTGTGACCGGTGAGCGAACTGATAATGCTAATGCGTATTTTTGCATGACATTAAATTCACAAATACATAAATGTAACCAGAATGCAGAAAATACAATGGTAAGCAGAAAAGGAAAACATGAACCCAAAAAAGCAACTACATATGAATGACGAAAAAATTTCCTGAATAATATGGAGATTGGAACATGGTTTTGAGAAATAAATTGCACAACAGCAGAGCATACAAGAGAAATGGAAACTGCCTAAGAGATTCACATGTAGGTTCTAATCCCTCCTCATGCTCAATCTCTATAATTTATCTCCTCCATGGTCTAGCAGGCAAGGTAATGCTCAGTCTTGTCAAGGAGAGGGACCTTTCCAGTGGTATACCCAAGCATACATCTCACAATAAGCATCTTTCAATCTCAATTTCCTGCGGCTCGCAGAATCATCATCAATAGTGAAGCTACTTATTCTGTTCATTTTAAGTTACTACCATAATCAGAAATAACCTATTAATCCCAAGAACAAGAATTCGCGATATCAGAGCCAGTGGATGTAAGATTGTGAAATGAACACCAGCTCTCACTGCTTTCTTTTCCAATCTCATATTGACACATTCTTTATCCTATATGCAAGAAAACAAGATTGAACATTAATTTTACTGGGCATTTTGAAGGGAAAGGTGATCAAATTTTGGGGGTCACCCTGCCCATTACTCTGAAAAACCAGTATACCAATGAACACCTAAGAAGACAATATTAGAATGATGCAAGAACTGATAGAGATAAATGGGAAATATCAGCCTTCCACATCTTAATCAATCTCAAACCCAACTATCTCGTTGGTTCAGCTAAACTTTACCTGTATCTCAGAACATTCTACAAGTAATGAACTTTAATGACAAAAAGAAAGAAGACTTGCACTACAACTACTCCAGTTACATTGCGGAAATCCTACTTTGCTGGCTCATGCTTTGAGTCACACTTTCCAAATGCAACCTCATTGTTTGTTCCTACAAAACCCTAGCATAAGGAAGCGCTGAGCAGGGGTCACGCTAGACTAGAAGCCACCAGAGCAAGGGCTGCATTTTTTACATGGCCTCTTGAAGAATGCAGTGTTTGTGAGTTATTGTTCGTGCCTCATCTCAACAACTCGGATATGGTTTCATTGTTTTCCTGTACGGCATGATCTCACTAAGCAGATTATTCTACACTGGTGTTTCAAAAATCATCTCATGTTATGGTACATCTATGTCAATAATATAGTGCTGACTCCGACACCTCCTTGTTGGTGTCTTCTATCTCTAATTTCGGCCATAAACTTAGCTATATATCAAAGGATTTCTCAAATTTCTCTTGCATAATTTGTTCATACCATCTCCCTAAAGTCATTCATATCATCAAATGGCTTTGCAAGTTTAGTTTGGTAGATTTGTTTCCTTGTAAAACTACGTGACCGTGTAATCGAAAGGAACCTACGGCATTTAAAGTTCATGCTGTATAAAGAAAATCATCAAAGAAAATATTCCATGAGAGACTAGAACAAAATGAGAAATTGGAAATTCAAATTAGGAAGAGGGATCCAAGCAACCATCCAAAACAGACAGAAATATGGTGAGCATGGCAAAGCCATATGCCTCATTAACTGGGCAGCTCAATTATTCAATTCCCCTCCTGTCTTATTAACTGTGAAGAAGTAATGGCATACAATGTGTGATCTCAGCTTCTAACTGTTGGCAAACAGTTGGTAGGTATGCTTTCAAATCTCGAACTAAAAACCCAATAAACGAAGAAACCCTAATCCAATTATGAACAACAATGTAGTTTGATCAAACCCTAATCCAAAATGAAGTAAAATTTGTTGCAGAGAAATCAACTGATTTGGGATCAAATTGCAGAACAAATTAGACCTACAAGAACAGCAAACAACATGCATCTAGCAGAGTTTGAATTGAAGTGTGTGGAAGTTTACCAAACCCAGCGTTTTCAGATCGAACACACCATTAGGTTTATACAGAGACCTTCGAAATCCCTAACTGCACTTCATCGCAATGACAACATACATCATAGAAGGGTTGCAGAATGCTAAAATGCGCAGGGTGAATACGATAACTCATCTTCTCACTAATTCAACTGAAATGTACTGAAGTTGTTACAATCTCAAAACCCTGTCCACAAACAAAAAAACTAGAAAGAAAAACAATTCGATAAAAAAAAAAAACAAGCTGAAAAACATCATGAAAGTAAAAAAAAAAAAAAAAAAAAAAAAAAAAAAAAAAACAATATATATTTTTTTCTTAACTGCAAACACGAAGAGATTTACAAGACTACCCCTACAACCAACTAGAGTCTCTTCCTCCCTATTCTCTCACTTTCTTCCCTTCCGAGCTGGAGCTTTCTTCGCCGGCGACTTGACGCTTCTTGGCTTCACGCTCCGAGTTGGAGCCTTCTTTGGAGTCGCAGCTTTCTTCGGTGCAGGCTTGGCCGCCGGAGCTTTTCTTCCCGGAGATGACCTCGTCAGAGTCCGCGCCGCCTTGGCCGGTCTCTCCTTGGGCTTGGGCCTTGGAGCTGCTGCCTTTGGCTTGGCAGCTGCAGCTTTTGGCTTGGCAGCGGTAACTTTAGGCTTGACAGTTGCAACCGGCTTCGACTTGACAGGAGCAGCAGCTTTGGGCTTTGGAGCAGCAGCCTTCGGCTTTGCAGCAGGTTTCGGCTTAGGCTTTGGCTTTGCTGCAGCAGCCTTTGGCTTCGCCGGAGCTTTGCTTGCTGGCTTAGTCGTTTTGCCTCCCTTAGGCTTCGCAGCAGCTTTGGCCTTGGGCTTGGCGGCGGCCACTGGCTTCTTCTTCACCGGAGAAGCAGGCTTAGGTGCCGCGGCGGACCTAGCAGAAGGAAGCTTGAATGAACTTTTGACCTTGACGAGCTTATCGGAAGAAACAAGCTTCTTCAAATGGTAAAGCAGAAGCTTCTTGAAGTTTGGAGGGAGTTGCTTGTGCTTTTCTTCAATGAACTTTGTGATCGCATACTGGCTCGAACCAGTTCTCTCCTTCAAAGTCACAATCGCATCCTTAACCATCTGCAGCAATGGCACGAAATGAAAATCAGATCGAAAACCCTAAATTTTCAAGCTTAAGAAACACCAATTGAGAAAAACGCATTCGAATTCGAGAAAATGCATACCTCTTCATAAGGAGGGTGAGTGGGAGTAGTTCTAGCCTTCTTGGGAGCGGCTGGTTTCTTCGCCTTCGGCTCCTTGGCTTTGCTCGCCTTGCCGGTTTTGGCCGCCGGCTTTTCCTCGGCCGGCTCGGTGTTGGCCGGCTCCGGTGGAGGATTCTCGACCGTCTCAGCCACGGCGGCGATCGCTTCTTCGGATGCCATCGGATTGAGAAAGAGAGATTGGGATTCGAATTTAGGGTTAGGGTTTGAAATGAGGAGAAAGAGGGACTGAAATCGAAGGATGGAGATCTGGATCTATAGCAATGTGTGTTCACTGGTAATTTCGTTGTGAGAAGATGACGGAAATTGAACGGTTTAAATAGTCAAGTGCCTGAGAGACGATATCCAAAAGCTGAGCGCTGATTGGCTGGGTGGCCTAGCACTGGGATCGCTCCCTTTCGGAAGTTTGAATGTGGGCCTTTGGATAGAACGTTGTGGACGGTTGTGAATGCTTGAAAGATGAGGCATAGAAGGCTGGGTTAGGAAGAATGGGGTTGTTCATTGTTGGTTTGGGTGTGCTTTTGTGCCCAATTGATTTGTGCATAACTTGGCCTAAACTTGATGGATTGGAGTGAAGTTTTTTTCATCTTGTAGGAAATTATATGAGCTTTCTAATGACTATTTTTTTGTGTTTTTTGGATATTGGGTTTGGGAGATATTTGGTTTAGAATCCACAATGGTCAGGATTAGGGTTTTTAGTGATGTTATTGTGGTCTCAAGCGATTTTAAGAGAATGCTTGGAACCAAATCTGGATTTTTTAACCTCATCTCATTTAAACGTAGTTAAGGAACACATTAGTTCAAGAATTGCAAAAATCGGCCCGGATTTGGGTATAGAAATGTGGCTTGGAACATGAATGAAGTTGCACATCTTTTTGCACCTTGTGCAAGGTGTCACATATTACATATGGTATGTATCCTATTTGTATACAAAATAAAATGACCTAACAAATTAGCACTAAATCTCACACATTATGTGGCATCAAAAGTGATTTTGGAACATAAATCCCAAGTGAGTTCTAAATCTATTGGTCATTGGGTTGTTTAACAATTAAAAGTATATATGATAAGTTGAGCATGTTTATAACATTGACACATAGTGCCACTTGCAAACCCAGGTAAGATATCTTTGCTTATCCTTGTATACATATTATATACCCACAAATTTGTGTCAACCAAACATTTTTCATGTAAAATACACAAATAGTGTAGCAGCTGTTCTTATCTTTGCTTACCTCACTCACTAGATTACTAGTTGCACCTATCTGCATCAACCAATAAAAAGGCTTCGCATACCCAGAACCAGAATTTCCTTCCTTGTAGCAGCTTATATATCATCCCTGACTTCTGCATATGTTTCCCGAAATCGTGCAACGCAATCGAACTCGTATGTAAATTAACAAGATATAGAGGAAATTTTGGTCTTGCAGACAATTGACTTGGCCTATTGGAACATTTCATAAGAAGTTAATGAAGAACATAGGTGTAGTCGTCTTCATTCTGTGATGGTTCATATCGTTTTGATTCCTCACATCAACTGGACATTGGCTATTTCTAATAGATAAAATATACCAAGCGGAGGAAACAAGAAGTCGAGAACCATATTGGCCCAAGCCAAGATCAATTGACTGAATCTGAAGCATATATAACATGAACTTTTCAAGCTTATTGACTTATTCTTGCATTATTTGGTGCAGGATCGAAGTTAAGGGGTTGGTTTGATCCAAATCTTATTTTTGTACTTGTTGACAAAGACACATAACTGTTGTTAATATCTAAGCCAACCTAGCCCTCCCATACTTGCATACAGTAATTAACCTTCCTTCTTCTTCAACGACTTACAGATGGGCTAGCTCTTTCTTGGCTAATTACCAAGTTAATTTCTTCTCACTTTTTTCTACTTCCTCTAGACAAATCTGTGTGGATATCCAACTCTCTTTCTCATAGTTGATTGTTGCGTTAATAGTTTTTATCTTTCTTTCGACTGGTTATGCCAAACAAAGTAAAAGCACACGAACACTTGAAACACTACGAATTTATCCAAGGCCCCATCACTATTTTTCAAACTCAAAGCAATTGTGAACAGGCAATGTCACATGGGAAACTTGATATGTTATACCTTAGATAATAAGAACATATGGCAAATTGGAAAGTTAAGTCAAAATCATACAAATCGCATTAGATTAACATCCCATCTGTGTGTATCTTTGTTGACCAAAACAAAAATTCTGCTTGTATTTAAACTTAGGTGTTAACCCATATAATTTTGCTTCTGTCCAAAACGACGGCATTTAAGCGTTTTGGATTTTTTGCATTTATGCATGCTAAAAACGTAGTTTTAGACATAAGCGCATATTGGATATGAGATCAAAACTCTTTGGGAAGATGCCTAAAATGCATTAAGTTTGATCCTACATTTGACTCGTTCAAATGGCCTCTAATCTCAAAGATGAAGACAAATCTTGCAGATCAGAGATGTGTTGCAAGATAATAGCCCTCGTCCATGGCACACTGACCTCCCACAACTGGGAGTTGCCTACTTTCAAGGTGATTAACATTCATAAGTGCTTTACTCAAATATAAATCTAACATTAATACTATAAAACACCAAGATTTTTTGAGGTTAAAAAAAAAATACAAATGGTAGTCTAAACCATAAGAAGAGGGGGGTTCTCATACACACCCTATCAATGTGTTATGGGAATTTGACCCTGAGACTACTGGTTTGCAAATGAAGACCTTTTAACTAAACCCTATTGGCATATATTTTCTAGTTTTAGTTATTAAGTGATTGGGGATACTGGAGTTCGAACCTGAATTTTTTCCAATATTGGAAAGATAAATAACAGTATAGTGAGTGCATAAGGACTTGTTGGGCTTATCTTGATTGCAAAACCTTATATTATGCTCTTTTTACCTTGTAGTGTGAGCTTATGGTATTAAGTTTGTTGATTTGCCTTATTTACTCATTATATCCTTTATAATTTGAAACTTAATTGGGTTACCCAATATACTCATCATTATTCCAAAACTATTACTATATATTTAATATATAGAAAGTAAATATAATATATAATGAGTAGTTCTACTACTAATAACATCGGGGTCTTTAGTAATAAAACTCTACACCTACTAGGTTTATAGGTGGTTAAGTTGGGAACCATATCGATATTGGTAGTAGTTGGCCGATAATGTGTCATTTTAAAATCTTAACAATTTAGGACATGTTTGGTTCAAGGTTTAGGAGCTTGTGAATGAGTTTCAAATTGCATTCTCATGTTTGGTAGGTGTGCATTATTGGGAACTGGACTCATGGGTATGGACTTCCCATGTAAGTAGAATTTCATACCTTTGGCTCACACTTGGACATTTTTTCCACCTACTTGGGAAAGCATTTCATGGAGTTTTTTTGGACTAACTTACCCACGTTATTATTTTTACATGTCACTTTTGACCCTTAAAAAATTCTTAATACTAATAACCTTTAATAATAATATAAAGGGTATTGTTGGAAATTGATAACTTTTCATTCCTAATATTGCACTAACCAAATATGGGAATGAGAGGTAATTGCATTTCCTATTCCTCATTTCCCAGCATTCCCAAACATAGGAATGAACATCCTATATTTTCATCTCTTGGGATTAGACATGGGAAGTTTGTTCCCAAGTTCAATCCATGAACTAAACAGGCCATTATATCTTGATAACTCTATAAAATATACTCAATTTTTCATATTTAAATTCTATTGTATTTTTATATTAGCATAACAAGAAACTTCACAATTTTAAGAACTGTATGGCCCGTTTGATAGCCATTTCAATTTTAGTTTTTATTTTTTATTTTTATGCTAGAGTATAGATGAAAAATAGGGAGAATGGAAGCGAGAATGAGAGTGAAGATGAGAGGGATGAGAGGGGAGGAGGAAGGAATGAGTAAGGCCCAGTTTGGGATTGCTGTCACTTTTAAAAAAAGTTGCTTCTGCTGTGCTTTGAAAATAATTAGCTGTAAAGTAAAGCAGCTCCGTGTTTGGTAAACAATATTTTTAAAGTGCTATTAGTACAAAAAGCAGTGTCAAAACCGTTTGGTAAGTTTTAATATAAAATTGTTGTAACTGTGAATAATGACTAAAATAGACATGATGTTAAAAGTGTTATGTAGTAATCATGTGGTAGTAGTGGTAGTGATGGAGTGGAGGTGGTGGTGGTAGGGATGGCGCTTGTGGATGTGGTGGTGGTGACAACATGGTGGTGGAGGTGGTAGCATGGTGGTGGTGGTGGTGGTGGTGGTTGTGGAGGTGGTGGTGGATGTGGAGGTTTTGAAAGAGGTGGTGGTTGTGGTGGTGGTGGAGGTGAAGGTGGAGTTGGTGGTGGTGGTTGTGGTGGAGGTGGAAGTGAAGGTGGAGTTGGTGGTGGTGATGGAGTTGGTGGTGGTGGAGGAGGTGGTGGTGGTGGCGGTGGTGGTGGCGGTGGCGATGGTGGTGGTTGTGGAGGTAGTGAATGTGGTGGTGTAAGTGGTGGAGTTGGATGTGGAAGTGGAGGTGATGTTATTTTTTAAAATAAATGATGGTATTTTGGGAATTAAAAAAATTCATTAAATGTTCATCTCTACTTCTTTTGAAAGCAGCTTTGAAAAGCAACCCATAGCCTGCTTTTAAAAGCTGCTGTCAAAAGGCCACTGCTTTTAAAATAATCGAGATATTTTATTTTTACCAAACACCTAAAACTGCTTAACTTTAAAGTGAAGCAGGTTTTTGGCGAAAAAAAGCAATCCCAAACGGGGCCTAACAAAAGTGAAAACAAAACTAAAAATTGAAATCTATTTGAAATATGATGTGGCAACCAAATCCAGCTATGACTTCATTTGTTTTTCAAATAACATTATTATTATTTTTGTTGCTTTTTCAAGTGTGGGTTGTAAAACCACTAAAATAATACTGTTAATTATCACTAAAATGATTAAATATTTTCTTATCAAACCTAACAAAAGCTTTACCTTTTTTTTTTGGTCTAAAAAGTAGTAGCTCTTATAAAGTTACTATTTTGAAGAAATATGACAATTTTTTTTAAAAAAATTTAAATTAAAAAACTATATTACCAGGGACTGATACCAACGGTAAAGTGTCCCTTTTTCCAACGGTTTTTTTTAGAATAACGGCATAGGTTTTCTTTCCCTCTATTTTTGTTTTTAGGTTTTTTTAATGGTCGAGATAGAGGACTCCATTGCTTCTCGGATTCCTTTTATTTTCACAAAAACCCTAGACCCACAGACAACTCCCGCCAACGAGTGAGGGTTTTGCTTCACTATTTCCAGCGAATCAGCGATGGTAAGAGATCTCACGTCCATATCCATCAGATCAATTTCTAATTTTGTTTTCAGTTTGTTTCCCGGGAATATTATCCATTTTTCCCCGGAACCAAACAGAGTGTTGATACTGCGCGTCAGATTCAGAAATTTTCTCAAACTTTCTTAAGTTTTAATAATTAATTTTAGGTGGAAGTGGAAACAGATGTGGATCCAGGGCAGCCGAACTCGCAGAAGGAAGGTAATCTCAAAAGACACAGTACAGACGGCTTGTTTGTGAATTTCCAATATGATTCAAATGAGAAATTACATGTCTGGCTTTAAATTGTATGTGCTCATTTTGTGTCAGATTTCAAAGCGGATCGAACCAGAAACCAATGGCGTTGATCAAGAAATTGCGAAAGGGCGGTAAGCGATTTAATTTGACATTGGCAATGGATTTTCATTTACAATATAAATGATGGAATAGTATGCAAAGCTATCAGTTTCTGAATTAGCTTCATCTTTTAGATTTAACATTGAGTTATTTCAACAAGTTTGTTTGGTTGGATTCATTATCTGTGTCTAATGTTCAAAATTATAAGTGCCTTTGTAAACTTTTCTTTAGAGTTTATTCTGTTGTTTCTTGTGCGACATCTGCTTGCCCCTTGCTGATTGTACAGCCGTTGGCTAAATTACGGTATTCGTGTGATAACAGTAGGGTGGGGTTCTCAGCTTCTTGATATGAAAATTTTAACATCCTTAGCTTAGGCCCGAGGGGTTTTCTGAAGACCCTTGGTTTTGTTCTCTTGTTAACTGCCGCGCTAGGACACTGCGACTGATTTTCAAAAAGCATACCGATTCACTGTAAGAGGCTAATGTGAGTTGCACAAGAGGTAGACATAATAAGGAAAGTAGAAAGTTGCACTTGGAAATTGGTTCTAAATGAATGAATATTGTAGTTTGGCAAATCATCACAGGTTCTTCTTCTCAAAGGCATTGATTTTCTAATCTGGTTAACAGGGGACAATGTTCTTTATCTGCCTTGTTATCGTCAGTGATTATGCTACTTGTTATTCTAAGAATGTGATAGATATGGCATGAGTGGTCCTCGAATAACATAAACCTGTGTGGTGAGTGGATGCTGGAACTTCATAATAGATGAACTCAATTTACTTTGCATTGCCACCATTATTGTTTCTTGTAAGTTGAACTTCATGTAGTTTGCATTGCTACCAATACTATAGAAAGTTGTGTTGTAAGCTAAAATAGTACGAGATTATTTTGGACTCTTTGTCAATTTCTATGCTCGAAACAGAAGCAAGAGGCACAACCTGGTGAGAAGCCAGAGAGCTAGTTTGGACTCTCCTGCACAACATGATCATTGTACCGGAGATGATTGGTAGCATCATTGGTGTTACAATGGCAAAACCTTCAATTAAGTTAAAACCAAGCCCGAAATGATTGGCCACTATCTAGCTGAGTTCTCAATCAGTTACAAGCCTGTCAAGCATTGAAGCTCCCCTGGCATTCGTGCTACTCATTCCTCCAGGTTCACTCCTCTCAAGTAACAATATTTTACACATTTCTTAACTCTACACTTAATAGCAGTCGTATCGTTATATTTTCCGAAATCTGCTCAATTATTGCTTAAATAATGTAAACCTGTGTGATCAAATCTCAAATGCACAGATTATAATCAATGAAATGGAAAATGAGCTTATACTATGGTAGGTTTCAACTCGGTTTGGTTTGATGTCATGGTGTTTACAATGCTGGTTTTTGAATTGGGCCATCCAAGACGTAGGCCTCCTCTATTGGGTCCGGGCCAAATGCACAATCACTTGTCTTCGTAGGGGCTTTTCAGAAAGCTATTCAAAATGAAAATCCTATAGAACATACCCAGCCCGAGCCCAAAAATAAATATCCAAACCATTTTCATTTCGGTTTTTTTTGAAATGACAAGTGATGGCGGGTGATGAAAAAGTAAAAGTTAAAAGATAATATTTTTTAAAAATCGGTGGGAGAGAGTCTGAGCGTGAAAAAATTTCAGTGTAGTCTATGCGGTGGTGGGCTACGATTACGAGGCGGGAGGCTTTGGCTTTTCAACTTTCAGGCTTAGGTAATGATAGTGTCAGCGTTGTCAGGTAGAGACACGACGTTGGGCCCCACTACACCACTCACTCACTTGAAGAAGAAGTCGTCTAATTTTAACTTTACTGCCATCGTTCATGCCCCACGTGCTCCTAAACCCTTTATTCACCACTCGACCCCACCACCGCTTGCCGCCGTTTCATTTACTTCTCTCTCCTTCGCGGTTTGGTTTGACTCATCGTGTTAGTGTTGACCCAAACTGTGGCGCCTTTGTTGTTTATTTACATGCAATATGCTAATTATGTTGTGATTAATTTTTAATTGTTCATGCATGTATATTTTACCGTGGTAAAAATTAACATGTCTTTAAGTATCTGATTTTAATGGTATGTATATGAACTTGGTTATCTAATATGTTATTTCTACACAGTCGTAGAGCGCAATCTTAACACATGAATCACTCACAAAGCAGAATGAACAGAAATAAGAGTGGAAACACAACAAAGCGCGTCGTGGCTTGACCTCCCCAACAATACAATATTTGTAATTAACTCAGTGTTGCCGTATTAGTTGAAGATGCAAAACTATGTGCGTACTGAATTTCTAGCTCCGCCCTACTAAAAATGAGGAGGAAGCAACTTTCTTTCCCATATCAAATCCCATATTAATGGAATGGATACCAATTTAGTACATTATCCAAAATTTTAAGGTCCAAAGATTATGCAAACCAAAGACCATGTGCCAAAGATGACGCTTTTGGCTGTCACATTGAAACCGACAAATATAAATGTTGGTCCACAGTCCCACAGTATATAAATTGGAAAAATAGTGTGGATTTGTGCAAAGCATTTCAATTATGCCCCACCAAATCTCTTCGTTACACGCATGCACTTAATGCGTCAAACCCATAATGAGATCGATACCTTTTTCAACCCATTAAAGAAAAGAGAAGAAAAAAAAAATCCTTTTATTGTAATTTAATATTTTTAAAAATATGTTTTTATTCAACCCAAAGGCCAAAGCCTGTCGGCGTTAACCCAGACTGTCTCCTCCACTATAAATAACCTCCAAAACTCGAACCCTAAACTCTCACTCTTCCCCCATTTCTCTGTCCGTACAGTCCACTCGGTCCTCGGACAACACCCCCAATGGCTGTAGACGCGCTCCACCTTCGCAAGACCTCACTCTCCCTCGCTGTCGAACCGCCATCACCACCGCCACGTCAGCCTCCGGCTCAGCCCAAGCACTCGGCTCACGTTAGAGGCGGCGGAGCCAAGGAGGCGCATTTTAGAGGCGTGCGCAAAAGGCCGTGGGGCCGATTCGCCGCTGAGATTCGCGATCCGTGGAAGAAGACTCGGAAATGGCTCGGCACCTTCGACACCGCCGAGGAGGCGGCTCTTGCGTACGACGAAGCCGCTCGTAGCCTCCGCGGTCCGAAAGCCAAGACTAACTTCGGAGCTCCGGCTTCAGCTTTGCCTCACACGCTTGTGATCGGAGGTGGATCCGAGATTTTCTGGACTCCGCCGCCGATGTACTTCATGGGCGGAGCTCCGTCGGGGGCTCCGGTGAGGTCGGAGTACAAGGGGTACAAGCTCGAGAATGTGGACCTAGTGGTGAGCGAGCAGGAGAAGAAGATGAGGAAAGAGAAGAAACCGTTCTTGTTCGATCTGAATCTGCCGGCGCCGCTGTTCTGAACCGCCGTGAGCCTCCGAGGTAGTTTGGCTTTTTTTTATTGGTGAAGCTTTTGGCTCCATTCCATTTTTGCCCTTCGCAGTTACTCCTTATTTCCACATCACATGTGTACATTTTTGTAAAATACCGGAAAAGAAAAAAAAGGGCGGTTAAGGGCGGGCAAAGTTAAGAAAAGTTAATTAACGCTGTTAAATCTGTCTGCTATGGTTTTCATCGTTGCACAACTGAGCTTAGATTCAGTGGATTATTTGCTGCAACTTCCATGGTTAGCTTGCGTTTTTAATTTTTGCATTAACTAATTTTAATTAAATAACTTCTTAGTTTGGTGCTAGAATTGCCACGCACGTGTTTATTTGACTCATTAAAAATGGATTACTGATACTGTAACTGATATTTAATTAAATCTGTTTCCATTTTTTTATATGCAATTACCATGCAAATCCCTTGACAAAATCGAAGGGTAGGTAAAAGTTACTAAACTGGTAATAATTTAGCATATATAGGCAGCTTAAATCATCGTCCAACTTGATGTTCTGTTGTTAATCACTTAACAATGTGCCATATATGAATGGCTGATATGCAACACACTGATAATGATAATCATTCATCATGTGTGTTGGTTGCCGGGGGGAGTCTTCATGATTTAGCTTCTCAGTAAAATTTATGATTGGTTCGAAGAACGTCTTGAGATTCTGGCAATTGCCGATGATATAACTAGTAAATATGTTCCTCCTCACGTCAATATATTTTATTGTCTAGAGAAATTACGCTTACCACTGCGGATGCTCTTAGTGCACTAGACAAAAGACCGAACAATTATGCTAGCGTCAGTTGTTCATCCTGCTTGGAAAACGCCATTCCTACACTAATCTCTCAATGACTCAATTTCATTGGTCAAGTAGTATTCCACAATATGAGTATTGGGTGGTCCGCTCCATTTGTCTTTGTATTTCAAGGCTCATAGCACTTAGGCCTTTTATTTTTAACACAGCCCAGCTCAAACTTGGCAAGACGATCTCATTCTAAACAATTTAGGCTTACGTTGAGCTCTATCACTGAAGCCCAACTACAAAGACTGGGTTGGCATGACATCAAATTAGATACAAGTAACATTCCTACATCAGCCCTGCCCATATATTTGTTATAATTAACTAAAAAAATTGGTTGGATGGGAGTTGACTGACGTTCATGCATCGAAGATGAATATATTTTTGAAACATTTCTTCTCACCGAAACGATTGAGAAAGCCTAGCCTCCTCGTTGATTGTCAAGAATTAACACCTTTGCGTAATCATGTACTACTTTGGTGTGTTGACCGCCTGTCTTCCTCTGGTTGGTTAGGCGCCCGTTAATCAAAAAGGTTTTGGAAAATGTTGCAGCAACTACAATTACTAATTACACCATCTAAAACAATTGAAGAGTCCAAAACCTCATCCAATCTAGTTGACTATCTTCTCACTCATGACTGCTTTAACACGCCATTGACCTTCATTCAATCCCACTATTTCTTTATATGTATATATGTATAGAAGCTGAAACAATGAGATAATCCATATCACAAGCAAAAATACTAGCTTGAAGAAGACATGCTTAGGCTTAGCTCAGCAACATCAATCATTTCTTTGGGGTACACTGTCTTTCATTCTATAACTTTTTGGTAGCCATATGTGATCACTTCTTTATTGCAAGGTCCCAAGAATCCCAACCAAAGCTATCCATGAATGAATGCATACTTCTCCTGGCAGCGTGCCCTTTTCACCAACTTGATTGATTCATAATTCCAACAATTAGGCCATTGGGAGGCCAAAGAGAATTTTTCTTTCTGTTTTTTTTTCTTTCCTCTTTTTTTGATTAAAGGACGTTTGGAATTGGACCCAAAGAAAACACACTGGATTGGATTCTATTTTCTAATGAAGGAATAATAACATTTCAAAAGATTTTGAATGACTGCCTTTTGTTCCCCCCTCATTGGTCACACCTAACCTCTTTTTTCCCTTTTCTTCACAACAACTGAAAGCAACAGTAATTGGCAAGGACTGAAAGCAACAGTTCTCTTTGTTACTTGGCTTCTAATTCATCCTTCCTTGACTATCTGCCTCAAGCCCACTTCACCCTCTCTCAAATTGCAAAGACCACTTGCCTAAACCACTCATGATTGCACTTTCCACCCAGAAAGTATAAACAACTGCTAAATACTGCAAACAAGTAAATGAAAACAAGAAGTACCACATGAAAGGCATTTCATTAATTCCAAAAACCCTACATTGTTTAAAGCATTGATTGCCTAAAAAAGGAAGAAAAAAACATGAAAGAGAGTTCTTAAGGGATGACCCAATTTTACAGACTTCTTTCAGTCCTCCCTGGGGATTCACATCTGCTTGCCTGAACGCCAAAACGCTTGAAGAGCTAACTCCCCAAAGCCAAAGTAACTGCTCCGACTGTATGTCATGCTTGAACCATGCAAAATATGTACAGGAGCATCTCAAGCCGAACATAGATAAGGTGTGATAAATTGACTGTTGGGCTTGGGCTTGGCAAGGCTCTCCATGAATTTCATGTCGTTGTAGATTGTGATGGTATCCTTGGGTGGTTATGCTCACCTTCATAGGTAACCGTAAGCATAGAGGGTTCTTCCAAGCACCTTTCAACATGCTTCCTTGCAGGACAACCTCTCATGCTACTACATTTATAGTATCCCCTGCAAAAGTTAAAAGGAGTTTCAACAGTTAATTCAGTACCAAAGAATTTTAAACTTAAAAGTCCATGATCTTCAAAGAACAAAGTAGCATCGAATAAACTCAAAAGTGCATCAACAAGCATTATTAAATATCACTTAAAGTCATATTCAAAATTTATTCTTTGAACAAATCTTGACCCCTACATTTGAAAGTGCACAGTATAGAATAAACTCAAAAGTGCATGCTAGTATCGAACAAACTTGAAAGTGTAGTAGTATTGAATAAAGTTGATGTGCATCAACAAACATTACAATATCAATCACATATCATCCTCAAAATTGATTCTTTTAACAAATCTTGACCATCATTCAACTGTGAGAGTCTGGATAAAAATTTGAACAAAAGAAAATAGAATCTGACAACAACCAAACATGCATATTGCAACATGCAGGATTGCTAGGAAACTGAACTTTTTTGGCCACCATCTCTTCTCAGCAACAAATGAACCAGGAGAGTAACTTCAAACCACTTGACACTAGATGTTTTTCTATTGAAGGTCATAATTAGCATACTTGATAAAATCAGTAAATCCAGGGCTATTCCACATTCCCAATGGAGCCTACTAGACATTACATCTAACAAAACAATCCAGTGGCATCAATTTGAAGAATACTAACAACAGATAACCCACAAGATGACTTGCTGATTACCAAAGATATCACAATCCAATTGGTCAATCATACTATCTGATTTTTGAATGGGGGAATGCATGCCTCTACTGTGTATGTGAAGAAGTAAAATAAAAAGAGTTAACAACACTAACATTCGCAAAAAATAAATATTCAACCATGCTCATCAACTTATTTTGCATTTCAAGCTAAATTCCCGTAACTATCAATAAGATTAACTAAAATACTGCAATTCTGCATATTAGATATAAAACATTGAAACAAAATTTTATGCATCACAATCAATCAAGTTCTCATTTCAAAGTGCAGAAATATATTATACCTTGGGTGAGGAGAACCCTTGATTGGCTTCTGTCCATACTTCCTCCATGAATAATCATCTGGAGGGATATCTGCAAGCTTGTTACTAATAGCAGGCACCTTAACAGATCTTTTCACTCTATGTTTCCTGCCAACAGAACATAATTAACAAAAAGTAGTTAAAAACAAATATAACTGCTCCTCCATGACATGAAAGAGAAACATTACAAGATATTTGTTGACAAGGTTTAGATGAACCAAGTAGAACATAAGGAGATAAATCCCACCTCTTCTTTGAGCAGTGACATCTACCACTGCTACCACATTTCACACTCCCATCGTCTCCCCTTGCAGAACACTTCCTCTTATGTTGTGAATTCTGATCCGAAGAGAGAGGAGCCCCAATCAAATGGAAGGAATTACCATCAAAGTTAGCCACACTTCCATCTATGCTCAAGGAAGAAATGAAGGATCTTGTAGATGACATCGTAGGTGTGCAGCTAGAGCTATCAAAATTCAGGTTTATGCCACTATTGCTCCTACGGTACATCATTTCTGCTTGGTGTTTCATCTGCTGTTGCTGCTGAAGGAACAACCTCTGCTGTTGCTGTTGCTGTTGTTGCACTTGCTGTTGCTGCTGTTGTTGCTGAAGGAAATGATACTGTGTTGGAGGTGCTTGTTGCGCCGGTTGAAGCGGATTTTTCCCATTAGTGCTTAATTCCAATGATGGGTTTCCCAAACACAAGGAATTTTTAACATTTAAACCCAAATCTTGAACTGGGTTTTCAGGAAAGCTAGACTGAATAAAGTGAGGAGTTTTGGATGGATAGTCTGTAATACAATTGGGATTATCTAAGAGGATTCTTTCAGGAAAAGGAATTTGAAGTTTCTTACGCTTTCTAACTCTAGCATGACCTAAACCAGTATTGAGAAGGGAAACAACTTTCTTGAACTTAGACACGGCCTTCCCAGTTTCCACCATCAAATTCCTATACTGAACTTGATCTTGGGTCTGAGAAAAAAGACTCAGAACTCTATGGCAGCTTTCAACAGCTGCTTTGTTAGCTTCTTCGACGTCCTCCATTTTAGCCCCCAACCAAACTAACAAAAACTAACCCCTATCCTAAATTCTGAAAGACCAAAAATTTAACCAAAACACACCATAGAAACCAGGAACTCTGAAAGCCTACTTATCATAGGATGTTCAACAATCCACATCAGACAAAAACAAGTACCTAGATAGCCAAAATCCCATTTGTAACCGAACAAGCTACGATTTTTCTAATGAAATTTCTGGCAGGAGATCAGAACCAACTGGGTCTAAGAAAATTGATTGATAAAGAGGACAACCCAGATAGAAATCAAGACATTATAACATAGAAATTGACAAAATTTGGAGTGATAGAGCAAGAAAAGAACCAAAGAACAGACCTTGTTGGACTTGGTGCTGTCAAACCCTAGATTCTCAATTCATGCTTTTGAGATTGAATGGTGTGAATGAGAAGACTTTTGCTTCGCTTGAGAATTCACTCTGCCATAAGAATACAAAGCCCCCATCTTTATTTAATAATATAATCTCTTTCTTTCTAGAGGGAGAAACCCAAAGAATTCAACAGAGAGAGAGAATGAGGGGAGATATAGAAATCAAAAAATTTAATAGGGGAGGAGAGAGATGAGAGAGAGAAGAGAGAGGCATTTAAATAAACAGTGAACCAGGAAAGCTCAGAAATAAAATGAAACTGCCGTCTATGTCACAGATTTGAAGGCGGGTCCCACCAAAGACCTTTGTTATTCTCTTTTGGGAAATGGTCTTCTCTACACAGACGTCCACAAAATGTTAAAGTGAGCCTTTGATTTTTCGGTGTACACGAAGTTTTTTTTCTTCTCACTTTTGCTTTTACTTTTCCAGATTTGATTTTGTATTGCATGTATAAAACTCCTTCAACCCAATTTCAATTTTTCAACTTCCAAAATTTTTATCCTTCCTGAGAGACCAGACCCACTAATTCAGCTTTAGCTTTTGTAACTTCCAGTCCCAGAATAAAAACTGTGTGCTTTGTTGAGTTGTCCTACGGTTATTAGGTTGTTGAGCTTTGTTCAGAGCTTTGGCCTCTTTGCATGTTTTGCTGCACCTGCACCTGCAGATTTGGATTTTGGGTGTGGAAAAAATGAGGCATACCTCATGAGTCTGCAATTCATTGACACTTGTTTGAACGTACTCACATGCAAAATGTGTTGTGAACAACAAGTATCAACGGTTAGAAATTACTCGCACTTATATAGTGCAACGGCTGTGAACAACATGCATCAACGGTTCAAAATTGATTGCACCTACACAGCGCAACAGAACTTTATATAACATATCACTCCTCTTATTGTTGCACTGCTTTAAGTCTTGAATTTTACCATTTCAAGATCATGAAGTAATGTAGTTTCATAATTCAATTTTAAAGGATTACCAAAAAAGCAAATAGTCAGAGATGAATTAAAACTACAAAAATCAAAGAATAAAATATAAGAAACATTTTCTTTTGGGTCAAAGAAAATAAAAATAAAAAACATTAAAACAAAAAATATAACATTAAAAAGCACAGCCAAAGCTCCTTGTTTTACTTTGCTTTGAAGTCTTTTTTTTCCTCTGTCTGCGCGGCTTATCCCAACGTCCGTCAATAAGTGGGCCCCAAGCACAGTCTAGCACTCGAGAGCATCCAATATAGCCGTTGCCGAAGATGGCTAATCGTTCGTCGACACGCGTAAAATTGATCCCAAAAGTCTCACACGTAACCCAATGTGTTGTTTGACTGCCCGACTCTCTCATTTTCTATCTTGCGCCGTGGAAACACTGTTAGTTCGGTGCCTGACACCGCATGGGGGCCACCGATCCTAGCACCGTTGACTTCACCCCTCTCTAATTGGCGTAATCAGCTCACTTCCAATTAATTAATACATATTAAATAAAACACAATTTAATTATTTAATACCTAATTATAGTTTTTTTTTTCTTTCTTTCTTTTTATGAACTTTTACATACCTAATTATGATGAATCGTGAAAATGTTTTGATATTATAACGAATGTATCTTATATAATTATTATTCAGTTTAATATGTTTCATATATGCCATGCAAAATTTTCTTATTAATAATGATTAATGTTTTATAATATTGCAATCATGCATATTTGTCATAATTAACGGTAATCATAATGTAATTATTATGATCAAAATTTTAAGCGATATGTTGATAGTGTACCGTAATTAGTTATAAGAAAATGTTAAAATATAATACTTAGGTGGGTGCACCTCCTTGTTCCACCGTGATTAAGTAATATTCATCACATATCTTACAATCGTGACTGTTTATTTACTAAATTACAATTTGAAGATCGTTCATGCAGAAAAAATCAATCATATTGGAGATAGTTCAGTCATCCAAATCCTCCTCGTGACAAATATGAAATTCAATATATGATTGTTTTTTTATTTTTTTTATTTGTAGAAATGATCTCTAAATGATGATTTGGAACGATTTTAATTATGGCACATGTACGGTCAAGAACCATTCATTACCATAACTAAGTGAGATGTTAATAGTGCACCATAATTAGTTATACTCTCCTCCATATAAGGATAATGTAATTAGGACTCATACAAATTATTTGACATCATGAGCATCATTTTCAGACTGTCCTCGAGAGATGAATACATGTTCTATTTGTACTTGAAACCCTAACAATAATGATGTGGTTCTTTCTTATTTTGATGGAAACAATTACAATTGCTTTGATAGATATGAGGAAACCAACATTCACAGTCCTTTTTCGGTTTTAAATCCTTTTCCCTTTTAAGGAGGAAGACCATATCTCCCGATGATGAAATTTCAACATAAAATGAAGGGAAGAAAAAGCATAAAATCAAATCTTACTAGAGAAAGAAAAACAAGAAGAGTGGAAATTTACAACAGGAATTACTAAAATTGTATGTTACGTTCTCATTTTAATTTCCCTTTGTTGTACTTTCACTTAACCAAGCAATTTTGTCTCTCTACAAAAGCAAAAGTGGCAATAATCATCATTATTTGGTGACTAATGCTGATTTGACTGCAGACTTTAGTTACTGAAAATGGCTTTTTTCAGTCACCAAAGTCCCCAAAAAAATGTATTTTTGGGGACTAAAGTTTTTAGTCAACTCAGCATTAGTCACTAAATAACGGTGACTGTTACCACATTTTTTTTTTATATTGTGTCAGTTTTTCTACATGAAAGTGAAATACACAAATATTTTATTTTTAAATTTAATTTCTATATAGAATCGAAACATAATTATGAGTAATAAAAAGTAGAAAAAGAAAAGGCGCATCAAAGCATGGTTTTTTTCCTTCACAAAGTGCACGGATTCATACTTTACAACGTTTAACTTGGAACAATTCAGATTTTTTATGGAACAAAAGGTTAACTTTACCCAAAATGTACAGCCACGAAACACATCAAATCTTTTGCTTTTTTCCCTTATTCTTTGTGCTTATCGAGTTTTTTCTTCTCTTTTTTTCACTGGAGCACTGATATTGTTCTCACAGTTCTGTTTTTCCTTCGGTTTATATGGATTATGGGAGTTTCATGATCCTCTTTTTTCTCATTGCTTAGAAAGGAACTAAAATGACGATTGAATTTTCCTTCTTCGGCAAGGCAATAGTCTAATCGGTTGCAAGAGACGAGCATATATCTATGGTTAACTGACTCAACCCACGTATACGTGGGATTGAATTTTTAAAACTATCTTTAAAGAATCATAAAAGCTTCTTTATTACCCTTTTCTTCTTTGTTCTTCCCTTCTCCCTCACACTTCTATAACATAATGATTTCATCAACCCCCCCCAAGCTAACATGTTTTCAGGTTAGTGTTTGCATGAGCAAAACCCACATTATAGAGAGACAGAAAAGACTATTTTTTAATTTTTTAAAAATGTTTGTGGATGGAAGCAAAGCACAAAATGGTCCTCAATGGAAGGAACCCTGTTCATAAAGATAACATTAATTCACTTTGTCCTCCTCCTAGACATTCTGTCCCAGTGTCACAGTATCCATCTGTCTCTTTAATTTGATTGAAGAATATTTTCCCAAGCTCCAAGTGCTCCGGCTTTATTTTGTTCTCTTATTACAAATACTTTCTCAGGGGCAAATGAAAGGAACAGAGCTTGAGCTCAGCTTCACAAGCTTTTGTGGCACATGGATTTAACACTTTAACCTCTTTTAATGGGCTAACAGGATAAAGTTAAAAAAAAAGGCCAAGAGTGTCTTGGGATCTGGTAAGACCGTACGGCTATCATTAGCATGGCAAAGGCAAAAACATTATCTTTGGTTGTCCAGAGAGATCTTCCTTCTTATATTCACGACAAAAATTTATCCATTCCCGTTTTATTGTCGTCATGTTTCTATCTTTCTTCTCATATCACATATCAAAAGCGATATAGAAAACGAGACAATGAAACGGAGATGTGGAAGTGTTTCTCCATATTCATATGCATCTCCAATTTGTTTGTAGATGGAGTAGCCCTGAATTCTTTTTCACATTTGTGGTATTTTTGGAGCGGAAAGTGCGTGCGTCTCTTCACAGTAAATCTTGTCTAGCTTCGTTTGAGCTAAGAAGTTTTGATGTGGTGTTGTGTGGGCAATCTGCTAGCCTAGCATTTGCTGCTGCCCAGCCGTGTTTGATTTATTTGGTACTTGGAAATATACTGCGGGCTGCAGTTTTTGCTCCCCCTATGATTGAGCATTAAAACCACGAAGGAAAAAGCCTCTCTTACCAGTCCCAGTCAATCATTGAGAACTATATGCCATTTGGATTTTGTCCCAAAATTTTCTGACCTAAATCACACAGATCAATTTATTGAGGCCCAAAACAAAACCCACAAATTAGAAACAAAAGAGAGCAAGGGGGTCTCAAGGTCATCACATAGTTCAGGCCTGTTATTAACCTATAATGGGCTCTGTTTGTTTGAACTCCTGAGGGATTCAGTGTTACCACAAATTTATTTTCAACTGTTGAACATGTTGACCGGGATAAAGCAAGTGAAAGTCGCCAATAATCCTGGTTTATAAAATGCAATCAAAAGCGAAAATAGGGAATGAGAATTCATGACAACTTGTGTAGTTACAAATTTCGTAGTTGTAGAAGATTCACTCAAGTAATAAAATCCCTGGATCCTAACAGATCAGTCCAAAAAAAATTCTAACTGTACGCCAACAAAAACTATTGTTTCCTTCCCCTTCCTTTCTTGGTTGGCTGTGCATCCATCTGGTCTTTCCCGGTAACTTCTGCAGGATCCACTGTGCATGAGAAAAAAATAAAGAAAGAAAGAATGAGTTCTAGTTAGAATAATTAGTAAAACTCACATTAAGGTCAAACTGGAAGCTATACATAACACTACAGCACCATAACAGATGCTCCAAAGGGGGGTCCATTGGGAGACCCAAATAGCAGCTTAAGAAAGGTAATGCTGCTTCAACCATTGTGTCATTCCAGAACATTAGTTCTCCAGACTCCATGCAGAAAATAACTTCTCCATTACATTTCACATGGCATTTGAAACAAGCTTTTTAGCTTCTCCAAAGGTCCTACGTATTAGTGAAAGGTGCCTAGGTGCCTACCCCTTGAAGGACCTTTCGTCAAAGGCCACTCAAGTTCAAACACATAGCAAGTAATCTAACTTCTTAATCTTTGGTATATTGGATTGGACCCTACAGTTGTAGGACCAAGTGAAAAGGGCACATAGCAAGTAATCTAACTGGATTTAAACTTAATATGAATACAAAATGAAATACTTCATCAATGTTCCAGAAGAAATATTAAAAAGTTTAAGATTAGGCTTGGATAAAGATAATACCTTCTGGACCCCTGGACATCAAAGTGAAGAATACATTGTTAAGTTTTTCCATCTTCTTTGCATCCTGTGCCTGATCTGTTTTAAATTTCAGACACTGCAAAATGCAAAAAGGATCAATCACATGAGTAAAACAGGCAAATGTTGATGATGATATCAATGATATGGAACAGTTTTCTTGTATCTAAAACTTCAGTTTACAGAAAACACCCAAGTTTCTAGAAAGCCACAAAAAGATGCTTTAATCCAGATTTCCAAATACAACTACATGGCATATGGGGATTTTTATATTGTCTGTGTTCTACATAGCATTCCATATTCCGAAAATGCACAAAGAAAAGTGCAATCACGTCAAATTCAGCCAGATGCCTCATCTGACTTATTGCACCAGCTCTCCGTGATTAGGATTTCTCCACCCAAAAAAGTAGAGTAAAAAAAATGGGAAGACAGAAGAAAAAGGAAACACATTGCTTTATGCAACTAAAAGCACTATCACCATGACAAATCCCCAGATTCCAAGTAAAGGCATTCTCAGATTCAATTTGGGAACAATTTGGCATGAAATTGGGTCCTTCAAATGCATACTTTTGATTATATTCGATGAAGTTTTCCTACTTAGGTCGGTTCGAGTATCATTTCATGTGCTCAACAGTGAAGAAAACACAAGACAACAGTTTGGAATGGATTAGGTGACATTAACAGATTTGTGTAATCGAAAAAAACAGAGGTGAAGGAACTTAGCATCTAAGTCAAAGAAAGGGGTGACAAGTGTACTCCTGCCACATCGGTACCCAAAGTAAAAAAAAGTCTCAACAATTTTAATAAAAAAGCCACCAGAATATGATATATTTACATTATTGATCAAAATATAACATTATAAGAAATAAGTCCACAGGTTCTCTTAATCTGTCACTAGAAAGAGCATTAACAGTACAAAACTGAGAATACTTAACATGACAGGCTACTTGTTTCCTATACCTTTCTGAACTGCGGTAATTCAACTCAATTTTTAACAAACGAAAGTTTATTGAAGTTCCTACACAATGAATAGGGTTACACAGAAGTACTAAATTAATGTTTTGCTCATGAAGTGAAATCAATAATAATCTCAGCTCAGCCAGCTATGATTACCCAGATAAGTTAATACACAGTAGTAAAAGGAAATAAATTAGTACCTCTTTATTATCAGTGACTTTGAGAACCAATTTCCCATCGCAATGCCTGTACTTCATCACATATCGCGTCTTCATCAACAAAATAGATCCATCAGAATGATTAGAAATCGTTAAATCCCAGTCAAATAATAAATAAATAATTCAGACCAATTAATCCTTTGTTTGGAAGGTATTTAAAACAATTATTCTTTGTTGCGAAAACATAAGAACACAAAATCAACCAGACTATTGAAGATTAGGATTTTCATGCACTGGAAGACTGGAACCAAGAAAGAAAATAAATCATCCAGTCCACTAGTACACTGTGCCTAATGAAATTTTTTGCTTGCTCTTGCTTGTAGAGAGCGCTTGTTAAACACATATTTAAAAACTATGCAATTCTACTCCTTTTTCTTTGATTTTTTGGGAAGACAAACAGAAAATATGAAAAAGAAAGTTACGTACAGATTCGGGATCGGCACGGAAAAGCTGTACGGATCTGTCGACGAATTCATCCCAGGAAGTTATATAAACCATTGTTAGGGTTTAGGGTAAAAAGCTGCGTTTTCAGAGAGAATGAGGAGAAATTCAAGGAGTAGAAAGAATAAAACAGAATTTTGGGGAAGAGGTTTTTAATTGTGTTCAGTGCAGGGCAAGGTCGGTTTAGTGTATATTTACGATTGGGCCTTGGGTTTCACTGAAAGTCGGGTTGGCTATTTGGGCCTTGGCGATCTCGGTTATAGCATCAAACGTTCATGAGCGTCATAATAGGATCAGTCGTTCACGTGGACGTTAATTGTTCATGTACTTCGAAATAGCATCAGGCGTTCACATGTGTTGAAAATCACAATAATAAAACTCTTACAATAATTTTATTATGAAAAACAAAATTAATGCATGATAATTATTTTAAAGTAGCAATAACAGATTGAATTGAAAAACAAAAATAATATTACTAACACATAATAGTATATAAACTTAAAAAATAGGTAATAGTTTAGGGAGTTCTATATAGCTAACCCTAAACAAAAGAACAATTTTACTAATGTTAGTCTTTGGCAATAATTTGTCTGATTTGTAAACTCAAATATGAAGGCACCCCAAACAAAAAATCGAAAACGTCACAACACTAGAAGTAGAAGAAGAAGCAAAACATTATTAGATGCAAGGCACTTGCTGGTAATACAAATAAAAATAGTGATTAATATTGTTTAATGGCCCTCATTTATGCTTTTCCTTTTCAAACTATTTGTGTCTTTTTTAAAAATCTTTTCATCCATTTTGTCTAAGAAGCTATATATGCTGTAAAGAAGCATGACTTGAGCACATGCAAATCTTGATTTTACAATAGTCACTTGGTTCTCAATTGTTTTAGAGTTGAGAGTAACTTGGGTGCAATCAAGTTTAATATGGAGTATATTCGCTTTTATAAGTTATATTCCACAACATAGAAGAATAATACCCCGAGTTCATTGTTGATTACATATATAACATTGGACAAATAAGTTATTATTTCGTGGTTCCCTCAAATTGCCTGCAGTATTGGAAGGGAAGGAATATAAATGTATAATGAAAAACAGAAGCAAAATAGCAAATCTTGTTTAAAATGACGATTTTGAAGCTGTTGCGACGATTTTTGTTCTCTAGCGGCGGTTTACATATCTTTCGTGACGACAATATGGTACCAAATATGTAAAACATCTTTAGCAGCGAATAAAACCGTCGCTAGGCGCAGCACAAAACAGTTTTACCTGCGATAAAGAAAACCGTCGCTAAAACTCGAGAAGGAAATAAAATTCGCCTCCCCTACCCGCTCTTATAACGAAATCTTCTTATACATACAGGAACCCAACCTTTTAATGAATTTTACATTTCCAAATTTATTATTCAATAATTTGACCATACTCTTGTCTACAACCCCATCACATACTCGAATCCTCTCCTAATCACTATTTTTGCCTAACCTTGAATGAGCTTTTGATAAGAATATGACACGTAATTAGAATCACATCCTATGGCTCAAATCACTTTTACATTATCTGCAGCATATGCTGTCGTTGTGTTGAGCTACTGGCAGTTTGCCTTCACTGGCTACTGGGACTTCTGGTTCACAAGTCCAGCCTTCAGTTTTGTCTTCCTGACTGTTGCCCAGTGGACTATACTTATGGGCAATCCTTTTGCTGTGACACAGATCTCAGGATGTTTTCAGGTTCCCTTCAATTCTCTCGCATACCTTTAAACATAAAAACAAAAAAAACAAAAAACAAAAAACAAAAACAAATCAATAGTTTCTTAAATCCCCAATCACCCATTTACCACAATTTGGAATTATCTTCTAATGCTGCATTTGTATTACCTTGTGTTAGATATTGCAGGCCTACCTTACATATGCTTACTCTGAGTGAACACTTCTTTCTCAAAAAAACCACCAGTCCTTTCACCATGAAAAATCCCCAGATTCCAAGTAATAGCATTCTCAAATTCAATTTGGGCACAATTTGGTATGAAAGGGTCCTTCACTGGCTATTGTATTATGTTCATAGAAGTTTTCTTATATAAAATAGTTTGAATATCACTCGATGTGCTAAACAGTGAAAGCATGACAGTTTGAAATGGAACTTAGCATCCAAGTCAAACAAAGGGTTGATAAGTGTATTTCTGCACATAGGTAGGTTCCCAAAGAAAAAAAAATGTCCCAACAATTTTGATAGAAAATATTAATAAGCTACATACCAAAAAGATCCAATTTGATTATTATCCAATAAAGGGTACAAACAAAGAAAAATTGATGCATGCCAACAGAGTGCTCACCAAACTCAACCGCACAAGTGTTATGACAGTAGAAAATGGAACATGTAAACCAAAAGAAATTGTGCACCTGAAACCTCACACAAATCCTTGTTCTGTAAGGGAAAGATATATGGAAAATAAAACATCTTAACAACCCCCCCACCCTCCTCTCAAAACAAAAAAAAAGGCCTTACTAAATCCATGCATTTTGCTTCCTCCAGTAACAATTAATTTTTAAACACAAATAGCCATAAAATCATTCCTTCACAAAATTCGCAATAAAAATGATGTGTAAAGCATTTCTTTGCAACATCTCAGTAAGTTAAGTAGAAGCGCGCATGTTGAAAAATCCAAGTAAAATTCATAATCCCACGCCAAACCACAAGTAGTATAAATGGGCAACAGGTTCAATAGAAGATGATAAATTACTTTATTGCTCAAAATATAACATCATAAGAAGGAATCTCGCATGTTCTCTTAATCTGTCACTAGAAAGAGCATCTACAGTATAAAACTGAGAGCACTTAACATTACAGGCTGCTTGTTTCATATGCCTTTCTAAACTGCGGTAATTCAACTCAATCCTAAGTTTAGTGAAGTTCCTAAACAATGAAAAGGGTAACACAGAATTACCACATAACTAATAATAATCAATAATAACCTCAGCCAAAGTAAAGTAAAACAAAAGGAAGACAGAAGAAAAAGGAATGGCATTCTCAAATTCAATTTGGGAACTATTTGTCATGAAAGGCCAAGGTTTAATGTATATACAATGGAATTCTAAAATTATAACACCAAACATATATATATTTATTTTTCTGAAAGCATACTTGATACTGTTAACAAGCACAACAAGTATAAATGAGCAAAGCATTCGCCGGAATATGATAGAATTACAAAATATAACATTATAAAGGTTCACTTAATCTGTCACTAGAAAGCGCATTGACAGTATAAAACTGAGAATACTTAACATTACAGGCTGCATGTTTCCTATGCCTTTCTAAACAAAACTGGTAATTCAACTCAATTTTTGACAAACAAAAGTTTATTGGAGTTCCTAAACAATGAATAGGGTTACACAAAAGTACTAAATTACTGTCTTGTTCATGAAGTTAAATCAATAATAATCTCAGCCATCTAGGATTACCCAGATGAGTTAATACACAGTAGGAAAAGGAAAGTAATTAGTACCAGTGACTTCGAGAACCCATTTCCCATCAGAATTATCATAAATAGTTAAGTAACAGTCAAATAAATAAAATTCAGAGAAATTAATTCTTTCTTTGCAAGGTATTTAAAAGAAGTAAAATTCAAATTTGGATAGAATAATCTGGTTGTTAAAAACATAAGAATACAAAATCAACCAGACAATTGAAGATTAGGGTTTTCATGCATTGGAAGATTGGAGCCAAGAAAGAAACTAAAGCGTCCAGTCCACTAGTCCAGTCCACTGTGCCTAAAATAAAGAAAGTAACGTACAGATTCTGCGTCTTTCAGATCGGCACGGACAGGCTGTACGGACCGATCGACGAACTCATCCCAGAACCATTGCTTGGTTAAAACTCTGCATCTTTCAGAGAGAGAGGAGGAGAAATTCGAGGAGTAGAAAGTGTAAAAAAAAATAAAAATAATTGGGCCTGGGTTTTACTTAGGATTGGGCCTCGGGTTGCATTGGAAGTCGGTTAGTTCCCAATAACAACTCTCTTATAAGAATTTCATTTATAAAAAAAAAATTGATAACTATTTTAGAGTGTTAATAATATATTAAATCTATGTCTATAAAGCAAAAGACAGATAATGGTAAAACATTCAAAATACCATAAAATTTCATTGGTTAATTCAAACATTAAGAATTGAAATTATTAATTAAATGAGGATAATATGATAAATTTACATTTTTTAATATTAAAAAATTAAAATTAAAAACAAAATCAAATAATAGGTCATACTTTTATGGAACATAACTACCCATATTATCTTTTCTTAATTCTAAAAATAAAATAAAAAATAAAAAATAAAACCAATGGGCACATGCGTGAGCATGCGCCAAGGGTCTAGTAATATATTAAATTGAAAAGCAAAACTAACCATACTAATAATGCTAATGTCGTCTAGCCCAGTGTGTTTGGATGAGGGAAATAAACTGGGATTTTGACAAAAGTCAGAATTTCTAAATTGACATGAACCAATTCCCGTGTTTGAACTTAAAAAAAAATAGAAATTTAGAAATTTCGCGTGGGAAAAAAGATGAAATTTGGATATCATAAATTTCAACCTTAAATTCTATCTAAAAGTCGTCATTTCTAAAATCCCAAGAGATATTGAGTTTTTAAAAAAGATAGCTTTACAAATAAATATTAAATTCCATGTTTTCAATCCGTCACCCCAACAAGAAATTTTACAAATTCAATAACATTAATTTCCGTCATTTATGAAATCCCTTGTATTTTGAAATTTCCTCATCCAAACGCATTGTAATGGAAAATGAATATTTTTTTTTTTGTCTGAACAATGAAAAATGACATTGACTAGTCTCAAATTTGAACCCTAATGCACCCTAGTAATATACTAATATGTGTGAGAGAAACTCTTCTCCCCCTCTAGTTTAGACTATAGATTGTATAAAACAAAACCATACTAACGAATAACAAATAAACAAAACAACAAGTACTGTTGAAAAAAGTCTTAGCATCTTAGTTTTATGTGTAGGAAAAACCTCTCTCTCGTATAATTTAGACTATCGTTCGTGCTAAAAAATAAACAAAACAACAAGTCTTAAATGAGCGAGGGTACCCAACCAACCCTCATTGTTATATTAATATTTTTCAAAGATTCTACAATACTATTAATCCCAAAGATTCTAATCTTCCAGCGTCCACATTCCACCACTTCAACAAGTAAAAGTCAAAAGTAGCTAGCTAGCTATCAGGCATTTAGCTAACTCATACGCATGAACTTTGAAGCATTGAACTCTGATCCGAAGGCAGCGAAAAAAGAAAGAAAAAAGAGAAGAAAATGTCACAACCAGAACTACCAAATTCAACAGCAGAAGTGGAAGTAGAAAGACCAGTAGTAGTAGAAGAAGAAGAAGCAGCAAAACAAGGCAAAGGGACGTGGAAGCACGCTGCTTTCCACATGGCCACCACGATTGCCACACCGGCCGCTTATGCTCCCCTGCCTTTTGCTCTCGCTTCTCTCGGTTGGCCTCTCGGTAATTAACTTTTATCATTTTCTAATGCTCCAATTATATCAAATATTATTATTAAGTGATTGATTTGCTGTTTTATTTAACTTTTTATAATAGGGGTAAGCAGTTTGGTGGCTGCAACACTAGCCACATGGTATTCTAGCTTTCTCATTGCATCTCTGTGGAATTGGGATGGGAAGAAACATGTCACCTATCGCCACTTAGCACAGAGCATTTTTGGTACCACTTGTTCTAACTTTTCATCTTTCAGTTTGCTTTTCTGAGTTTTACTTTACAAATAATTCCATGTTGAATACTTCATATGCACTTATTTTTATGTAATTATCTTGAAGGGTTCTGGGGTTATTGGTCAGTTGCATTTTTTCAACAGGTAGCCTCTGTAGGCAATAATATTGCCATTCATATTGCAGCTGGAAGCAGCCTTAAGGTTGGTTCCTCTAACTGAACTCATCAATCTCATATTGCTTTTGGTCTTTGTAGGTTGAGACTTGAGAAGGAATTGTATTGTATATGTATTTTGCTATCTTTTGTTGCAGGCTGTTTACAAATATTATGACAAGGATGGTGGCTTAACCCTGCAGCATTTTATTATTTTCTTTGGGGCCTTTGAGCTCTTGCTGTCTCAGCTCCCTGATATTCACTCCTTGAGATGGGTAAATGCCTTGTGCACTTTCAGCACCATTGGCTTTGCTGGCACAACCATTGGTGTCACTATTTATAACGGTAGCCTCCTCATCCTGCACATGTTACTAATCTGTCAAGTTTGGCTTTTGTGAAATTTGAGTTATTTTCTTTCTTCTTGCTTATAGGGAAAAAGATTGACAGGAAATCAGTCAGTTACAGATTGGATGGAAGCTCATCTTCTAAAGCCTTCAGAGCCTTTAATGCTCTTGGGGCAATTGCCTTTTCCTTTGGAGATGCCATGCTTCCAGAGATTCAGGTCATTTATACATCTATATATATTTCTTTACCAATTTGAAGTTTGAAACTTTGAGAGTCAATAGTAACCAAGTTGTTAAATTTGGGTCATTTTGTTTTTGATACCAGAATACTGTGAGAGAACCTGCAAAGAAGAACATGTATAAAGGAGTATCAGCAGCATATGCTGTCATTGTGTTGAGCTACTGGCAATTGGCCTTCACTGGCTACTGGGCTTTTGGTTCACAAGTCCAGCCTTACATCTTGTCTTCCCTAACTGTTCCCCAATGGACTATTGTCATGGCCAATCTTTTTGCTGTTATACAGATCTCAGGATGTTTTCAGGTACCCTTCAGTTCCTTCCCATACTTCAAAAGAAAACAAGAGTCAACAGTTTTTTATAGCCCTTGGAATTATCTTCTGATAGTGTATTTGTATTTCCTTGTGTTAGATATATTGCAGGCCAACATATGCCTACTTTGATGA